TTGAGTATGGGTCCCCCGGCTGCCGGGCCGATGGGAGGGCGCTCTCCTGCCCACGCGGGCGGCGCGGAGCTTCCCCAAAGCTGCTGTGGGAGGGGTGTGCGCCTGGCAGGGGAGCGGGGCGGCTAGTTCCCTACGAGGGCGGGGGGCGAAGTGTGCTGCTTGGATCGAGATTCTCGGGCTGCTCAAAGGGCTCGGCCCCGCTGTGAGATTTTTCCACACCCGCATCCCATGGCTACAATAAAATGGGGCTGGGAAGGGGGACCGTGGAGCTTCCCCAAAGCTGCTGTGGGAGGGGTGTGCGCCTGGCAGGGGAGCGGGGCGGCTAGTTCCCTACGAGGGCGGGGGGCGAAGTGTGCTGCTTGGATCGAGATTCTCGGGCTGCTCAAAGGGCTCGGCCCCGCTGTGAGATTTTTCCACACCCGCATCCCATGGCTACAATAAAATGGGGCTGGGAAGGGGGACCGTGAGATTGGTGGCTAGGACGCTTCCTAATCCATCGAGTGTTCCCCTTCCCTCATCTGCCTGAACACCCCTCTCTTTCTCCGGGTTACACTTTGTGCTGAGTGCAAGTAACCTTGTGAGCTGGCAGTTTGATCCCTGGCCACTATACCTGGCCAGTACTGATTCCCTCCCTGCTTGAGAGCTATGCTGTGGTCAAAGCTAGTGAGCTAGTAGATTGTTGTTTGGTGAGACTGGATTAACAGATTTCTATTAGGTAGTTGTGGTGGAGAGCACAGATTAATGTACTAGTTCAACTAATTGTAGCCCACTGTGTTCTCCATTAGCTCTCCTCAAGTATACCTTCAAACTAATTAACTGTTTTAGGCCCCAGTCTTGCAGACATGTACTAGTCACATATGTTAACAACTTTATTTAATAAACAGAAATAAGTCACTAGGACCAGATGGTTGTCATTCAAGAGTTCTGAAGGAACTAAAATATGAAATTGTGAAACGGCAAAGTGTGGTATGTAACCTATTGCTTAAATCAGCCTGTTAAATTAGTTATCTGCCAGTCAGCTGGTAAAAGCCAATTAAAAAAAGGCTTCTGAGGCACCCCTGGCTGGTAATCTTAACTTCAGTACTAGGCACATTGGTTGAAATTTATGCTAAAGAATAAATTCATGGGGGTAGCTATGTTAGTCTAATTTTAAAATGAGTAGTCCTATAGCACTGTAGAACAGGGTTGGGGAACCTAAGGCCCAGAGGCCAGATGTGCCCCCCTCCTCCTGCAGTTTTCCTGGATCTGGCCAAAAAAGGTTCCCCACCTCTGCATTAGAGACTTAACAAAAATAAGAATGGGACACTTCCAGCCCACTCAATTAGCCTCATTAACATTAGTCCTACAATTGACAGGTACTCCTACAGGTACCCCCCCCCCCTTATAAATGTCTTGGTTCTGTTACATTCTGGTTATATTCTACTCCAGCTCATCATCAGTGGATTTTACCCATGAAAACTCATGATACTATGTATGTTTGTTAGTCTCTATGATGCCACAGGACTACTTGTTACTGAAGAACAGAATTATCAGACACAAAGATTAACACAATTAGGCTACATCTACACTGCAACGCTATTTCAGTATTCCGGAGTATCCCATTATGTCAGGCTCACGATTCCTACATTCCTGTAAACCTCAATCCACGAGGAGTAAGGGATGTTGTGGAATAGCGGGTTATTTCGAAATTTGGCTCTGTGTGGACAGCGCCAAATTACAAAATAAGCTATTTTGAAATAAAATCGAAGTAAGATATGCAATTTGTGTAGCTCAAATTGTGTATCTTATTTCAAATTATGGTGCAGTATAGATGTAGCCTTAGTTGTGGAAGAATCAGCAGACCTTTTGAAAAGGGAAATCGTACTTCATCAAGCTATAAGAATTCTTTGAGGGGGTCAGCAAACATGGAGAGAAGGGTGATTCAGTGGATGTAGTGCACTTGCCCTTTCAGAAGGCTTATGACCATGTCCCTCACCAACGGCTCTTAAGCACTCTAAGCAGTTGTAGTCTAAGAGGGAGGGATGAGTAGCTGGCTGGAAGGAATAAATGATTATTTTTCACAACGTACAGAGGTGTAGAATAGCGTCTTCCAAGGACCTGCACTGGGACCATTGTTGTTCAAATAAATTCATATGAGATCTGGAAAATAGGATGAACAGTGAGGTGGCAAAGTTTGGGAATGATACCAAAGTACTCAAGATAGGTCCAAAGCTGACTGCAGAGAGTTACAAAGGGATCTCACAAAACTGGGTAGCTGGACAATTAAAATGACAGATGAAATTCAGTGTTTTTAACTGCAAAGTAATGTATGCTGGAAAACATCCCAGCTATACATACAAAATGATGGTTGCCAGATGCTAGGACTGAAAAACAAGATGGATCACTCAGTAATATCCCTGTTCTGTTCATTCCCTCTGAAGAATTTTTTTGAAGACGGTCAACCACTATGAGAAGAAAGGATACTGAGCTAGATGGATCATTGGCTATACAGGGTTAGACCGTTCTTACCTTCTGTTAATGTTCCTTTATTACCTGTTTCCTGTCCTCCCATGGATCCTCCTGTCACACTACCATCTTCTGTTCTTGTCTGTTTGTCTCTCCCAAATGCCACCAAGCCTCCTGATTCCATTCCTTCCCCTGTGATTATTACCTAAAATATTCAGTTTTTGAAAGCAGCAGAGGTGAAAATATATAACTTTTATCTTTATACAGTTTTTCAGGGCTCTAAGTCAAGGTTTGAGAAGTGGTTTTTGCATGTGCCTTTCACACAGGAGAGTTTTGCAGAGGAGAAAAAAAGCCACTCAGGTGTGATTAACTGAGTGTTTTTGATCAGCAACTTCTGGACTTCCATTCTATGAACTGGCACTGAGGCCTTGTCTGCAGGGAAAAAAGGGTTACATTAGAAATTAACTAATGTTTTAACTAAAATGATGGTAATCATGACTAGCTAATCTGTTTCCTTGTTGAGAGCTGTATTTTTTTAGTGTATCTCTATGGTAACCAATGACAAGGATTGGAAAGTGGGCATCATGCCCTGCCTTCTCAGGGGGCTGACAGAGCACTCAGGCCTTGCAAGACTGAAGAGTTTATATGCTCTTACTCCTACTCATGTCCCCTGGCCTTTGCCAAGCCCTCCTCAACTTCCTGGCTTTTTGTTGGAGGGAAATTTGAAGTAGTTGTAAATGTGTAAAATGAGGAAACTGGAAGTGGCAGATAAAGGGCAGGGGAAGAAAAAGAGTTATAACAGCATGAGGTTGATAAAAATGAGACTATATGGAAGCATAGTTGTGATATTAGGAGTCAGCAAGTATTAAATTCAAATCCTAACTTACTGTGTGCCTTTGGACAAGTTACTTTCCTTCCCTACTTCAGTTTCCCCACTTGTATAATGAGAATATTTACCAGCCTCACAGAGATGTTGATGATTAAGTCCTGATAATTTAATAAAGTTTTCTCTCACGTTAAAATAATCTACCGTGTGTGTGTGTGTGTGTGTGTGTGTGTGTGTGTATAGGACACAGAGTGCATAATCTTCTATTGTTCTAAACTCATTTGTAACACAGTTGAGGGAGAGAGGCACAGTTGCTGCTAAGCCATCTTTATGCCTGCCTCAAACCTGCAAGCATGTGGGACTGAACCAGACATGTAACAGTTAAAGGACTTTAAGGGTTTTTAATTTATGCTTTTAATGGCAAAAGAGGAATTTAAAGAGGCTCTGTGTTCAGGTCTTGCCCATTATACTGGGAGGAAGTATTATACAGAGCACACTACACTATCTTTATGCCACCCAGTGGTTCCAATATGTCAGGATAATCTCTATCAACTTCTCCAAAGTTGCTTTCCCACTACTTTGTGCAGCCTGAAGAGCATAAGAGAGCCAGAAATAGAGCCAAAAATATGGGCCAGAATTTTTTTCCTGGCTAAAATTTGTATTATTTAAAACCATTTATTATTGCACTAATTTTAAACTTTGGCATTCCCCAGACTTGGCTGTGAGCCAAATCATCATAGTTTCTTTGGCTAATTCTGTAGTAGAAATATATATAATATACTATGTGGAAATCAATAACCTCGAGTTCATTGCGGGGAGAGGCGTGTGAAGAGAAAATAGATACAGAAGAATTATGGATGTCATTCAATCCATTTAGTACTTTCTTTTTGAAATTTCATGTTCATACATGCCTGGCAGACTTGCCTGTTCCTCTTAAACTGAAAATTCACTTATTTGTCTTGCTTTCAGTTACTAGTTTTGGAGTTCGCACAGTAATATATAGTTATACCATGTATCTCTTATAAAACTTTCTAAGAGGTCTTCAAGTGCTGAAGTGCCATATACTGGGCTCGACAAATACGCTTATCTACTCGCCCATGGCAAGTAGATTTCAGCCGGTCGCCCCATTCATCGGCGGTCCGCGCATGCGCAGTTTGGGTCTTGCGCATGTGCTGTGCGGGGCTGGCAAGTGGTTTTCGCCACAATCGTCGAGCCCTGGCCATATAGATAAGCAAACAATCACTGCTTTTGATAGAAAGTTATACTTAAACCAAAGCAGCAATACTTTGAAAAATAAAATGAATACATAGTCATAGCCGTTCAACTAATTGATAGGCATGTGTTGTTACTGCAATCTTAGCCAATTTGTGTAATGTATAAGGATTAGTTGAAACTTTTTATTCTTGGCTCCCCATTTCAAAAATACAAAATAAGCTACATTTGTGCTGCTTAAAATAATTTTAAAATAGCGCTGAGAATTGCTTTTCTATTTACTAAAAATTATTTCTCATTAATATAATGTTTTTCATGTTTACAATAGTTTATAAATACAGCCTTTCTCAGCATCCCCATAAAGTGTTGTTCCTAATTTTCAGGAATGGGGACTAAGAGAATAATGATGGGATTTTCAGAAGTATGTGTGATTTTCTCCCCCCCCCCCATTGAGTTTGTGCTCCTAAATCACTTACACACATGTGAAAAACATCACCATAAATGATATACTTACTGTATACCCTTAAGTCAGTAGCAGAGCTGAGAGCACAGTTTGAATTTCTGATCTCAGCCCATTAATTAACTTCTCCCCCCCCAGCCAGGCTTTACATGTACAACTCACATTCAGTTAAAACCAGTTTGTAAGCAGTGAAGAAGGAAAAGCTTAATTTAACTATTTAAGAAGTAACACAGTAATTCCCCAAAGTAAAAGACTGCAGTATAACATAATGATAAAAATTCAATTTAAAAACTTAGGCCAGTCAATAAAAAAGCAAACTCTACTTGTTCCAGACAGGAAAACAGTTGCAGTCATTCATCCTAACAAGCTCTTTTAAAGGGGAAGAGACACTGCATTGTCCTTTTCTATCTCCATCTTGTAGTAGAAGGATAATACCTGTTTCATAAGCTGATATAAGGTATAATTTAGACTAGGGATGTTAACGTGTACCCGAATACACAGTTAACCAATGAGCCTGAGTGCCCTCCCCCCAGTGCTGCCTCTGTACTAGAGGCAGTACATGCAGGAAGCCACTGACTCCTGCCGACCCAAATCCCCCTCACACTGTTGCCTCTGTATCAGAGGCAGCAGTGTGTGTGGGAGCAGGCGGGAGCCAGTGCATGTGGGAGGCAGTTTTTAAGTGGCTCTTCCTCCCTCCCCATCCCCACCCCCGCTGCCCTCCTGACTCCCACAGAAGCAGCAGTGCAGGGTTGGGCGGGGGGGCAGGCAGGAGCTGGTTATTTCAGGGAGCTGAGTACCCTGTTCCCCAGAGCTAACTGCTCCCCACAGTGCTGCCTTTGATACAGAGGCAGCAGCATGAGGGAGAAGGGGGGGGGGGGGGGGATTTGATAGCAGCTTTCAACTTTCCCTTAAGTGGTGTGGTCTAAACAGGAAGGAGGAGGGGGTACCCACTAAGCACCCATGCCCTGGAAGAGGCTTGGCATGCTCCCCCATCCCTAGGCCAATTAAGGCCTGGGGGTAGGGGAGTGTGGGAAACCTTCTCCGCTCTGCCCCCGCCCTGCAAGCAGCGTGTGGCGCTTTCGTTCAGATCCAGCCTGCGGAGGCTCTTTTGCCCATCCCTGGGTTACAAATTTACACAAATACATACATTTTAACATCCCTAGTATAGAAATGAAGGTAAGGAGATATACATTTAAAAAATTCAGGAAGGGCTACTAACAGTAAAGGGGCTCTGTATAGGTGTATGCTGCAACACTGCTATTATTTGTTTCACAAAGTATACAAGGTGCATTGTAATGTTTGTTGCTTCTGTGTCTTTTATAAATGAATAGATAAAATATGTGGAGGTTGTAATTGTCTCAGTGCCAATTCAATTACACTTCTTATGTATGTAGTATACAAACAAAATTTGACCTAGACATTGCAGTTTTGTACCCCTGTATCCCTGTTGAAGTCAGTGGGACTTAGAGATGTAGGTAAGGGCAGAACTCTCCCCTAAGCATGTGGCATATATAAAGTGACGGGAAGAATTCACTGAAGGTCAGCTAAATATTAGGGATGTAAAATCCCATTTAATTAGTTAACAAGTTAAAGGTTATGTTTAACTGATGAAATGATTAAACGGGGTGGGCAGGAGGACCCCTATGCTGTGATGCTGTGGGAGGGACTGTTCCAGCCTGACTGCTCCAGGCCAATGTGGCTGCTGACTCCCAGCCCATGTGGGCCAGGAGACTGCAGTCTCACAGGGGGTAGGGGGTGTGTGCATGCTGTCAGCTCGTGCTAGGTGGAAGTCACTGTGGGGGGCAGGTGGTGCTTACCCAATAACCTGTTAACCAGTTACATCCCTGGTTAATACCGCTTAGGAGTTGAGCAAACACCCAGTAAAGAGCGCAGAAGATGCAATTTGCTATATCTGTCTTTATTTTGGAATCCTCATCATTAAATCAAATGCAATTTTCTCTTTTTCACAAACTGTATCTAATAATTCTCTAAACTAAACAGTGACAAATGCCAAAAGAACAGTTTTGCAATAGGTTGGTATTTATGTGGAGGTGTCATGTTAAGTTTAATATGTAATTAACATCTATTCAAAACAGAAAGATGATGACATAGAAGAGGGAGATCTTCCTGAACACAAAAGGCCATCAGAACCGATAGATTTCTCCAAAATTGATCCAAGCAAGCCTGAGAGTATCCTGAAAATGACCAAAAAAGGGAAAACTCTTATGATGTTTGTCACCGTGTCAGGAAATCCCACTGAAAAGGAGACAGAAGAAATTACCAGCCTGTGGCAGGGCAGTCTCTTCAATGCAAACTATGATGTACAAAGGCAAGCAGTTGTCTTCAAACTTTTATATTTGCTCTGACAGGACTCTGATATTTCTTTCTGAAGTGTTAACTGTTCTGTTTTTCTCCGTCCATCTCTTTGCTCTCTTAAATCACTGTTCATATGCTTTTTTTTTAAACTTCCTTCAAGCCTCTTTTGACAGTAATGTAGTCAGGTAAACAAAGCTTTTTTAAGACTTAGGATATGTCTATACTATAAACTGGGGGTAGGGAACCTATGGTGGTCCCTGCTTAATTTGATCCAGCTTGCAGTAAGTCTCTGTCATGGGCCGGAAGTCCAGAGCCTTGGTACCCCTCCCTGGTGGAGCTGAAATACAGTGCATGCCATGTTAAGTGTGAGTGAGGGGGTGGGTTTTTTTTGCTTTTCACCTTGGGAGCAGGTGAGTAGTGAGGGATAGGGTGGGTTTTTTTCCTCTTGTATGTGACCCCGACCGAAAAACAGTTTCTTGTGTCTGCTATAAATGTAAATTGTTGACTTACAGCGAGCAGGATTCGGTCCTGGGGGGGAAGGAGGGGGGCGCCACCTTAAAAGCCAGTTCCCCCAGCACAGTCTCTGTGGGGAGGAGATGACACTGCAGGGTACTGGCAGTGCTTCCACCTTTGAAATATAGGAAGAGCAAAAGCACTGCAGGGAGCCTGGGGCAAGCTGGGGATTCAATCAGTCCCCTGTTGGCCCTGCTCTCCCTGCTTTTGAAATGTACAAGAACTCCAGGAGGGCTCTTGTACATTTAAAAAACAAAGCGCCAGGAGCACGGGGCCAATGGGGGACAGTTTGAGTCCTCTGTTGGCCGTGCTCCCCGCAGCACTTCCACCTGGCAGGGCTCTTGCTATATTTCAAAGGCAGGGGCGCCCTTATCGACTAATTGAATAGTTGATGCAAATTACATCAACTGTTCGATTAGTTGATTAATCTAAATTTAACATCCTTAGCCTGGTCTACAATGGGAGTTTAGGTCAAACTTAGCCTCATTAGGTAGATTTTCAAAATAATGAGTTCACAGTTCCAAGTCTGTTCTGTCGACTTTAACGGTCCTTAAAGTTGATTTCTGTACTCCTGCTTTTATGAGGACTAATCGCAAAATTCTATTTTGTATGGTTGACTTAATGCTACTTATTACATCCTGCTCTTGGAATAGCTCTAAATGAAACATTCTGTTTTAAACATGTCAAAGACCAAATACTAATTGATAGTATTTTTTCATCTAGGTTTATTGTTGGCTCAAATCGTGCCATTTATATGCTGCGTGATGGGAGCTATGCGTGGGAGATCAAAGACTTTCTGGTAAATCAGGAGAGGTGTGCAGATGTAACTCTAGAAGGTCAAGTGTACCCTGGCAAAGGAGCAGAAGAAAGTGAAAAAGTGAAAAATAAAACAAAACCAGAGAAAACTACAAAGAAAAAAGATGCAGACAAGAAATCTAAACACCTCAAAGAAGAAAACCGCGCCAGCAAACAGAGAGAAGATCTATGACAAATAAATTAACCAGACTGAACACAATACATAGAAAATCAACACTTGTGTTATCCACAGAGGAAACTGATTGTGTCTAAGTTTTGCAGCCTTACCAATACAATTTTTGGTTCTTTAAGGGGGCAGGTGTGGGAATAAGAAGAGGAAGGATTACTGCTTTAGGAGACTGTATGTTAAATGCCAGTTTACTTATTAATGTTGGGCATTTACTTAGTAACAGCAAAGTTAAGATTTAATGTCTTGGAATTGCCCTACTTTAGATAGCAACTTTTTGTGTTACTTGTGCTCAGTTGGTTTAAGGTTAAAATAGACACCAGTGTATCTGATGTTATGGACTTTGTTCATATGGTAAAAAGGAAAAAAGAATTGTGATCCTTACATTGCAGAAAAGTTAATATGTAGTGGTAATTGACTGTTGTGGTTAGGTGTTATGTCAGTGATTCCTATAGTCACTACTAAGTAGTAGACTAAACTGGTACAATACGTTTCTGGGAGACATACAGACTGTGTGGTCATTGAATCATATTCACTATGATTTCAATGAACAGTATTCTGACTTCAGGCAAAGTATACCCTCAGAGTACCACAGCTGGCATTGAGACAAGTGCCTAGATGCATAATATAAGATAGACACATAAAATACTGTTTTGTTTGTACTCTGAATCAGCAAAAGCAAGGAGATTCTCAGGACCTGATCCTCTAGTAATCTCTATCTGCATGAATGAGGCATAACCCAGTGGGAATCAATGGACTTATAATGGCAGTCTGAAAATGGTTTAAGTGGAAGACCCAGATGTATTTAGGTGAATTCAGTGGGAGTTAGAGGCCTAAATACCTTTTGAGGATCTGGGCATTGGTGTGTATGTTGCCAGTCCAATTTTTGTTTTAGAATGCTGAGTTCTTACAGAGTAAAAGATGAGTTAAAAGAAAAGCAGCTATAACTCTGAATTTGTTTTTTATTGGGTTGAGAGTTTTATTTTACTCTATATAAGTATTAATTGCCATGCTGAGGAAAACTAATGTACTGCTAGCCATCTAGGGCCTGACCATTCTGTCAATTACATGCTAACAGCTTCCATTAAATGCAGCTGATGAATTAGGGGGGAGCATTTGTTGGTTTTTAATAATTGGTTCAGTCTGCTTGAATAATTCCTCGTGAAAACAATAAAATCAGTCTCCCTTTGCAGCAATCATAAATACTGGAAAAGTTGATTGGGGGTAGGAGGGCGGGATATATAAATCCTCTTCAAAAGACAGGTTTATTTTATTCTAACTGTATCCGCATAACTGTATGACTTTGAAGTTTTTCCTCAAATATGTTGAGGAATAAATGCATAATGACCTAGAGCACACACCCAATTCAGGTTTAGAGGTATAATATTAGATATGTTTGATGTTACTGAAATGAAGTTATTTTGATTTTTAAGGTGCCAAAATTGATGTGTTTTACTTTAGATGACTAAAAGGGTCTAACTTGAACCATAATGGTTAATATTTTTACACTGAATTATTTTGTGAGTGGTTAAGTTTTCTGTTGACTTAGAGTATGTCTACCATATTCGAAATAGTCAATGAAGCCAGGGATTTAAATATCCATGCTTTATTAGCATGATCTCGCCGGCGTGTTACTCTGATCAACAGCTGTTTCGAAAGTGAAAGTGTGCACCGGGACATGTTAGTTCGAACCAAACCCCTTAACACGTCCCGGCGTGAACTTTCAGTTCCGAAACAGCTGTTGATCAGAGTAATGCGCCAGCGAGATCATTCTAATAAAGCATGGGATATTTAAATCCCCGCTTCATTGACTATTTCGAATGCCTACATTTGCATCCCTAGTTCAAACTAGGGTGCAAGTGTAGACATACCCTTAGTGTTTGTTTCAGAATAAGAATGTAACTGAATTTGTACACAAATAGAATCTGGTTTTGTTTCAAAATTTACCTTTTACAATTGTGCATGATATGTTAATTTCAGTAAATTATTTTCAGGATACAGGCTAATCCCTCTCTGTTTTCCATAATTACTCAGAAGTAAAGACTAAAATTATGTGGATAAAACATGCAGGTATTAATACGCATATCTTCACTCTTCCCCTTGCAGGACTTTGTGTGAATTAAAGATTAAATTGTAGTCAATTGCAGTAGAAAAGATTGCTGTAAATGTATGTCTGCCCAGCACTTTGAGTGAAAAGCTGTAAAGCAGTTGTGTCTTGGGGATTAACTATATTGCTTTTCTGCACTGGTATTCATGGCGAAGATACAGAGCAATTCAGACAACTCAGTGTAGATATTTGATATTCAGAATGTTTCCTGCTCTTGTAAACATGTTGTTATCTCATCTATCATTGATCTGTTGCTTTCAAGTACTCATTCTGCAGTGCCTTTGTTTGGAGTATTGCGTCATTTTTCAGGAAAGAATCACAAGCCAACTCAAATGAAAAACTGTAAAATCAAAAATATTTCTTAGTGGATTTCAAACATGTTATAATTTACCTTGTAAATTCTAGAATCCTCTTAACAATAAACTAAGGATATTTTAATATGGATATAAAGGTTTTAATGTGGCATTTCTGATCTCTCTGGAGATTACAGTTTTTTCAGTTGTGTAATATATACCAGGTACATGCTGGATCATTTTCTCCAGTTTCATGCAGTGGAAGCACAAAAATCTTTTTTTTTTTTTTTTAAATAATACAGATACTGTAACAACCATTAAGTTGTGTGACAGGAAATATTGTTAAAAGTATCAAAATACAGCTAAATGAAGCTCAAACCAACATTTTAATGTGGATGTCTCAGGCTAAATATCTAAATCCTTTTTTAGGTAAATAACAGTAGCCTGATTTGGTAGTGTTGAGAACTCAATAGCAGGAGTCTGTCTAAAGTGGGAAAAGGTGTAGTTTTAGATCTAGCTAACATAATTTGAAACCACACTTACTTAAACATGAGCCGTTAAACAGTGTCTGCATTAGAAGCTAAATAGTGTTTCAAATTGTTAGCTTGATTTTTTTTTAAAGGATATTTTTCCTTAGACAAACTTAATAGGCATATAGCTGACTATTAATTAGTCAATGCTTTTTGATATTCAAATGTATTAAGAAAGGATATGCTTACTAGAGTACGTGCACCCAGGTCTCCTACACTCCATTTTTGTTAACTCTCTTCTATCCACACACTCCAAGGCCAACTGTTAGCTTAATGCCTGTTAATGTGACTTCATAGCAGATTTAAGAAGTGCAGTGAATGCCATAATCTTATTGAAAGTACAGGAAATGGCATCAGTTTTAGTCTCTTCCTCTGTGTCCTTCTTTCAGATTTAGGGTACTAACTAGTATCTCGAAAACAAAAGTACATGGGTTGGGAAGGAAGAGGAAAGAGCTGAGGTGAGTACATAAAGTTTTGAATGCTGCTCTGCCAGACTGCAAGAGTCCCATGTGTGGTCTGGATGTCCATTTTCTTTAATTCTGTTTATGTTCTCACCCACCATTCACCTGTATGTTTTCTTGCAATGACACTTGCATCAGATATGACCTGGGGACAATAAGCAGGGACAACTCACAACAGTGGTTGAATATCAGTGGAGATGCTGTGGAGCAGTGAACTAATAAGTAGGTGTGCGAGCCAACTGATGGATGCCAACATGCAACTCTACATTTGATATGCTGGTTTTAAGCTTAAATGGCCACCTGAGACAAGGTTGACAGGTTTGGGCTACACACACAGCTTGTCTGGAAATTCCCTGTACTGCCAAACACATGATGTAATATATACATGTTAGTGATACACTTTAGAGAGAACTCTGCTGATTTCCCCTGCCCCGCCACACCTCTTATTTTCTTGTTTACAAATAAACCTGTGCTTTTGTCAGGTAAACTGTTACCTGCCTGCTTTTTTAGCAGACATGCTGTAGCAACAACACTGCAAATAGTTTTCATAAATGTAAGACTGTAGGCTAAGTTTATTTCTATGGATTGCAAATTTTACAAATGTCATGCTTAATGTTGGCCAACACTAGGAGGATACTATATAAAGATTTGTTACAGAACCTTTCTAGACTAATGCTATGGATAGTTTGAATTGTATAGTCATCACTTACATCTTTGACAAATATGGGAATGAATTTTTACCATACATTTTAGAAACACCATGACAAACTTTTGTTTCTTGACAGTTTCCGGTTAGAAGTCCTGACCAATAGTGCAACTTTATCTTGCTTTCATTGGTTTCAATGGGAGAGTTGTCACGGATTTCAAGTGCAACAGGATTGGGACCTCTTGCCTGATGCAAAAGAAGTACTGAATGTAGCAGCTGAATTGAATGCCAGAGGCTGAACTTTTAGTGAAAAACTTTAGCATAAGGCTGAAACACCATTACTTAAGGAGAAATAGACTGGTTGTGTTTACACAAATATTTCCAGGGCAGAATGTACATATAATTTTTTTCAAAAATGTAATGAATAATTTTAATAAAACTTATTATAAAACTGTCAGTTGTTAGCCTTTTCTCCTTATCGGTTGCACAATATTCTCCTATTACAGTTAACTTGCAGATAAGGAAGATAACTTCCCATTTCATCAGTATGTTCTGTGTAGTTTGTTTATGCTTTTCCTTACACTTCCATCTAGTGGTATAAATAAAAACATATTTAAAACTCTTAACTAACTCCCTTATAAAGCACCTGAAGCTCTACAGCCAGTAGTATTTCCCATTTTGATAGATGTCTTAATCTCCTCTACAAAAAGTAATGTGGGTTTCTGCTCCTTCCCCCGCACCCCTCCAAAAAAAGATGCAAAAGGTATTTTCTATACATGTTATCTTCCACTTTTAAAACTTTCAGAAGTAGAGTGACTGGCTGAGAGATGGTGGTGAAGCAAAACAGGCTCCTGGGTCGCTCTGCTTCCTATGGTTCCCACCTTTCTGTTCATCTCCTACCTGTACTTCATTGACTTCTATCCTCTCCTCTTTATGAGGTTATAGAATATCCCCTTTAATAAATCATCCACAGAGGGGGGGAGTCTATCCCAATCAGGTGCATCTCCATACCTGCTAGTTTTCACACAGCCTTTAGTTTAAAAATTCCTCCAGGAATTTTTTCATTTCACAGGCCAGCAATCTGATTCTGTTTTAGTTAAGATGATGCCCATCTTCCCCGTATAGGCTCCTCCTTTCCGCAAAGGTTCTCCATTTCCTACTACCTCCATGTTGCTCCTCTGAACACCATCATCTCAACCATGCACTGAGACAACCCGTCTCTCTGTCCCTACTTGTGGAACTGGAAGCATTTAATGACGGGCAGCATGTGAACTGCTGGCAGGGAGGAGACTAGCTCCTAACCCTAGATGAGGCCCTGCCCTTTCTGCACCCCCTCAGCAGTACAGAACCACCCCATTGCATCTGGCAATCCCTCTGCAGGCTAGCACCCCATCTCTGAAGTCTTTAAAGGGAAGGCTATGTGACCCCCAGCCTTAGAGTGCTGGGAAAGCAGCACAGCCCCAATGCCAGCCAGCACCCTTGCTGCCTGTTTGGGATACTACAGTCTTCCCTAGTCTGATACCTGCAGCCCATGATTTCAGAGAATTCTACCATGGAGATTCTGGCCAAGCAATATAATTTACATTTACATGCTCCTATTTTATTGGGATAATGTAAGTTACAATTTAGCACTAAGATTGTCATTAAAAAGATTGTTTCTTTGGATTTAATTTCTCTGTTTTGATTGTGGGAAGCTACTTAGTACCAAATTATGCCCATTTTAGTGCAGCGTTAACCACAATATCACCTGAGTAACTCAAGTTTTCTCAATGGAGTCACAGAAGTGTAAAATCAGAAGGCAGGCCAGTACCTACTAATAATTTTATATGTACTGGACCTAGGGATGGTGGGGGCCCTGCAGAACCCCCCTGATTTGAAGTGTTTTTCATGATATACCAGATTTACAGTTTGGTTCAATGGCTCCCAACATGCCCACTATAAAAACTGTTCCAGCACCTCTGGCTAATTTATTCCAGTAGCAATCTGAATCCCATTCTGAACAAATTTATTTAGTAATACGTAAGTAAATTCAGGCTACATTGGGTGTTTCCAGCTCTTTTGCTGCAAATAGTTTGTGACTTGCTACTAACAAATGATGCTTAGCAAATATTTTATACTGTATGCAGTTGGGCAGATAAGCATCTGCTTGATAAACAGCTGTATTTGTGGGGGCTTACGGATACTTTGACGCTTACAACTACTAGCGAAGCTAAATTCGCTGAATCCACAATTTGGAATTTTAGCTTATACTAACTAAGGCATGGGTCGCGCACTGTAGTGTAGAGAGGAACGTAGTTATTGCCAACTGCATATAATCGATGATGGGTTTCATTATGCTGCTCTGCCGCATGTAGTTTTATACACCAATTGCCCTAATACAAGAATGCATTATTAAAAATAAAGCTCTCAAATTTTCAAACCTGCCTAGCGACCCTTAGACACCACTTGGCACCTCCGTACAAATAATCTGTTTTTCAAAACTCTGGAGCATGTAACTATTTCCTATTTATAGATTCTAATCTACTTCAGTAGGCTTTCTGCATGCTTAGCTTACCTGAAAAATGTCAGGGCCTTATACTGAGCTGACTAATATGGTTTTAGGAACATACATTTCTGCACTCCGCATAGAACATCCTGGCACCTGTTTATACAAGGGTAGCATTTCACTTATGATGTTGAGCTCTGCATGGTTGGAACGCTTGCATCATACACCACCAGAGAATGGGACAAAGACACTAGCTCACCCGCCTTAATCGCTCACCGTGCTAGCCACTGTTAACTTACTAGTGTACGTGTCACAGGAGAAGTGTGCCATATAGTTCTGTGAACTTTAGCTACATGCCTAGTTAGATCTAGGGTCTTTGGTGCACCCAACCTGCACTTGAAATTGGACTAGGGTGTGGGTGACAGGGAGGACACAGAAGAGACTTTACACTTGGCTGCTCTACATTGGATTGAGCTGCCCATGGGCCTTTGGTACCATTCGGGAAGCTGGGGTTTGCTGGAGTGTAGCAACACGCTACCCACAAGCTGGTTTTCTCAGCCACGGCCTCTAATGGTGGATGACAGGGCCTTTGCGTTACTACACCAACCTTATGCCACTAGACGTTTCCACTGACCTTGGAGAAGGCTGGTTAAGCAAGTTTTTCAGCCTCTTTGTCCCTTGTAGGTATGCTTATGCTGTATACGTCTTTCAGCAGCATAACACTCCTGCCTTCCCCCAGCACAAGTATGAATAATAGCAGTGTAGCTGGTGAGGCTCTGTTTAGGCAACTAGAGGAAAGCCATTTCTGAAAGGGAGAGGGGATATGAGTATATATACCCTACACCGCACTCTACACAGGCAAGCCATTCCTCGCAAGCTACAGGGCCTGAGGAAAAGCCTTGCCTAGCAGGGAAATGCTGTACCAGGTCTTTGCTGCCAGAGCCCTTTTCAGCCACAGGGGAAAGTGCCAGCAGCAGATGGACAGTGGGGAAAGAACATCCTTTCGCCTCCCTCCCTGGCAGAGCCTTTCCTTGG